AAACGGTTGAACGACAAAAGTAATGGCAGCAGTTAGAAAAGGCAGTTCCATGACAAGTTGGCCACTATGAAGAAAGTGGGCAGTTATAGAGTGATCAAGCAATTTTTAAGCGGTTGATCACGAAGAGATCATCCAGGGAGTAGAAAAGGAAGAAAAGACATAGAGTAAAAGACCCCCGAATCAAATACTCTCAAACAGAGAATATGTAACTTTAAATTTTTTAGTTTAGATTTAAACACTTCTTTTCAGTAACTCGTGTGCTTGCGCCTCTTGGAGGCATTCTGTTTTTATTTTCCAATTGTAAAGTCATCGCCAATAAAAACACTCAAATTAACAAAGCTTGGCCTCCATATTTTAGTTGTAGGGTTTGACTCCATCATTCTCCTCCTATTGGAAAGATTCGTCCTTAAATCTTGCACTATATTCTTCATCCTATTCCTTGTGACGAGACAATATATTTGTAGCTCCCCTTTTTAATTGTTAGCGACTAACCCGCGCGAAACAATTTGACACGCCCAGTGGGACAGTGGTGTTTGGTGTTGAAGATACAAAAGGTGAAACAATATGTTTCAGAGATCCGATAAGGAAGCAGCAAGTCAGGGAGGAGTCCAGTCTGTGATCGAGCGATATGAGGAGCAGCATAGCTCTCCACGAACAGATGGACAGAATCAGAGCAGTAACAGTCGTTACGAATCGATGGTAGAGTTGAGTCCTCGAACTATTCGTGCACTACTTGGAGAACTTACACGAGATGTCGTTGAATAGGTAAATCTTCGAAATATTCATAATATGGAAAGATTTACCCAAAATGGGAATGCACATTATGACAACATGGCCAAACAACTGAATACTTTGAACGAAATAATGAATAAGTTAGTAGACCAAATTTGTCAACCAGTTATGCCTCTTGCAAACCATTTTCAAACTAGGACAATTTGTGGAACATAATCCCCCAATCCTAAATCCAAATCAAGGGGTAGAACCACCTTTCGGTCCTTCTACTTCAAACCAGGGGATAGTGTAATGCCAAATCAGAATAATGGTAGTGGTATGCCTAACTTGGGGGGTAATCCAAATGTAAGAGATAATGTCCTAAATAATGGGCAGAATACCCCACGTGTTAATAAGGGAATAAATGTTCAGGCTAATAGTAACAATGACCCAAATCATGGTAACTTTGTCCCCAATCAAGGACCAAACATCAGGACTCAAACAAATCAACCGGTCAACCAACCTGTAGGGATTTCATATGACCCCAACGTCATGTTGAGGAATCAGATTATGGAAATTGTACAGGACCAGATGACTTTTGGGGTACGCCCTGTCATTAGGTCGACTTACACAAAGCCATATCCTGATTGGGTAGACCAAGCATATCCATAGCCTAGAGGGTATAAAGTGCCAGAATTCTCACTGTTTACCGGTTTAGGGGAGGTGTCTACTCTAGAACACATAGGGCAATTCACACTACAAAGTGGTGACGTAACTGATTATCATAAAATGAGGCTTTTTCCTAATTCATTAACAGGAGTAGCTTTCTCCTGGTTCATCAAATTGCCAGTGACCTCTGTTCAAACATGGCAACAATTGGAACAATTATTCCACGCTCAGTTTTATAAGACTGAGTCTGAAGTTACTTTGGTCGATTTGGCGAACCTACGTCAAATGCCAAACGAATGGGCAGAAAGTTTCCTCCAAAGGTTCAAGACAGCAAGAAGTAAATGTTTTGTACCTTTGCCTGAAAAAGAGTTTGTCAAAATCGCTCAAGGTTGTTTGAGCTTTGATTTGAAAAAGAAATTTCAAGACAAGGAATTTCTTGACCTTTTCCAATTGAGCACGAATGTGATTAGGTATGAACGATTGATAAGAGAAGAAGAACAGATAAAAAATTCTAGCAAGGGGACTTATTATAGAGATCCAAATTTTGATATTCATACCATCAATAACGAGTCATACGATCAGACCGAAATATGTTTGGCCGAATTAGTTAAAAGAGACACGTATACTTGTCCTATAATGGCTAAGCCTAGACCATCGGGTAAGGATGAGCCTGTGAAAGATGAAAACATAAAAGCTAGAACGTTCTCGTTTGATGTAACCAAAGTTGACCTTATATTTAATAAATTATATAAGGATAAGCAGATAAAGCTGAGCGATAAGCATAAATTGGCAAACCCTGAACAAATTAAGGGTAAAAAATATTGTAAGTGACATAATGCATGATCACATTTGACTAACAATCGCTTGATTTTTTGCTAAGTATTACAGGATGCCATTGAATCAGGACGAATTACGCTCGATGATAAGAAGAAGATGGCAGTGGATGAAAATCCTTTTCCACAGCCACTTGGAGTGAATATGGTGACGTTTGGTTTCAAAAACAAGTTGTCAAAATTCAAGTTGGTTATAGATGATAGAGAAGAAGACCCTGGACCACATCCCAGTGTCTTTGAGCGTATTAAAGGAAAGGAGCCAAAAAAGGATGAAAACGTCTTGTGTGCAAGATGTAAAAGAGAAGTGAGTGGGAATACGGAGAAACTAGGGATATGGCAGCATCCCCATCGCCCTACTTTCTTCCCAAACGCTCAGCCTGGTAGAGGGCGAGGTACATCGTTCTATAAGGGACCGCTTTTTGAGAGGCAGTTCAGGCCAATAAATAATGGGAGAAACTTCAGACTGCAACCTCGCCAATCAAGTGTATGGCATTCGTTCCAGTATAATGCAGGAAAGGTGATACCCTTCAACAAGATGACTAGAACCCAACAAAGGCGTTTCTAACGAAATTATGGACGAATGATGAGGCAACAACAGGGACTGCCACGTCCTAAAGCGCCTAAACTACTCGAGGTAGCCAATCAAAATGTTCTCAAAGACAGTGAAGAGACTGGTACAGATGAATCAATGAAAGAGTTGCCAGAAACTTCTTCTGAGAGATCGAAGTTTGAGCGAGACAAAAGGGATGGAGAAGATCCAGATCAGCCTCTTACTATTCAGTTCGGTACGTTACCTCCTGTCGTGGCTAATAACTATTTACTAGCCAATGAGTTCAAGAATAAAGTGAAAGAAGAATTAAGAAAGAGAGGATAACGAAGGAGAAGCATGCGTGCTGGAATATGAAGAATGCCAGACTTCTGGAGAGGCCTACAATGGTGAGGAAGATGGTGGTATGACAGACATTGAAGAGAAAATCGACCTGAAAAAGAAAGAAGAAGAAGAGGAGTATCGTACAATACTCTGTTGAAGCAACTACATCGAGAGGGAGTTCGTGAAGTAGACTTATTGGGAGAATCATCTGGGCGTTCTTTCGATTTTTACGTGCAGTACGGGACACCCAAAAGGAAGAAGAGAGTGCCTCGATCTGAAAAGTATGGACCACCTCCAAGAATAATGCCTCCTCCCACAGGTTGGGTAACTGAAGATGAAGCATCAGAAAACAGTAAAAAGGATATTCAGGAGACAGAGGCTCAGTGCGATATGCTGCACGTTGACTTGTCCAAAAGGATAACTCGACAGAGGACAAGCAGGAAGTAGAAATAGAGGCTGCCGAAAAGGTTATTTTTAAGCGGCCAGCCATGAAATTGACTAAACACTTGAGGCCGTTGTACGTTAAACCTCTAGTTAACGACATACCTGTGGCAAAAGTGCTTGTCGATAATGGAGCAGCTATAAACACCATTCCATCTAGGATGAT